TTTTTGTCTTTGCAGCCGAGAGAGTACCTCCTCCGCAAATTGCCAATATTCGAGAATGGGTGATCGCGATTCTGCCCCACACGATGGGGATCCGCGAGTGGGCGCCTTTTCACGAGAGGTTTGGGCGCAAACCTTCCACTAGTAGGTCAGCTTATTTCGACCTTAGTTGCTTTATTCTTTGCTCCGTCTTTTTCTTTATCTTATATCTTTATTTGGTCGAATTTCTCATTGGCAGGTCGGAGAGGAGCAAGAAGGGTAAGGGCTCCTATCCTTGCTTTCCGTCAACCGGCTTCCTCTACCCGGTCCGTACTAAGGGCAATTGTGGACGAGGGCGTCCAAAGTTTGGTTGCTCGACAGACCGCATCCGCAACCGAACCTTCTCGTGGCAGTGGCGAAGGGGCCCCGTCAAAGAGGCGGAGGATAGTGTCGGAGGGGGCGTCTTTGGTCGAAACGCCCTCGAGGGGCGACCCCATTTTGGCGCTGCCTGAAGCCGGCGATGATGCCAGCCTGGGTGTGGTGGCGATGCCCGTTACGGGCATGTAAGAGGCTGGTGTGGCAGGGGGACAGAGTTCTGAGGCTGCCGTGATCGTTCCGAGCGGCCTATCGTCGTCTCGGCAGGCCCGTACCCCATCTTCGGCTAATGAGAGGTTGAAGGGTGTAGCGGTAGATGATTATGAATCCGATTCTGATATAGATCCTGATGATATGAGGATGTTCGAGGAAGGCTTTACCAGGGTCGATGTGAGGGCGGAAGGCCCTTCCCGTGTGCTCGAAATCCCGTCGGATTTTAACCTGTTGGAGGACACGTTGGATTTGGTGCCCCAATTTGACTTTCTATGCTCCGCCACCGAAAGCAGATCTCTTAGGGATATCAGTGATTCCGGTTTGTCGCGCGGTGTGGCTGGGATGGCCTTGAGGGTGAGTTTCCTTTCGCTATTTTCTTTGTTTTGTGCTGTTTACTTTCATTGATTCTTCCTTTTTTTTCTTAAGACTTACATGCTGGAGATCGAGAGTGCTCGCCGGGATGAGACGCGGGCCGATGTCTTTCTAAAAATGGCCACGAAGTACCACCGGTATCGAAATAGGTGCCATGAGATGCACGAGTAGCTTAGGGCGGGCACCAGTACTCAATCCCTCAAGGAGGAATTGGAGAAAAGGGACGAAAATCTGATGTGGTCTATCCGCAGATGCAGCGAGCTCGAGGAGCTGATTAGTGCCAAAGACGAGGAACTCGAGGTGGGAAAAGGGGTTGCAGCGGAGTGCGAGGATCTTCAGGCAAAAGTGTTGTCTTTGCGGGCCGAGCTTGAGCAGAATGCCACTAGAGTCGCCAATCTAAGTGCAGAGTGGACGGAGAAGGTGGTTGAGCTAGAAAAGAAGGTGGCCGAGTTGGAGAGAGCCGAAGGAGCTCGAGTGGCGGCTTTGGCGAGGGCGGCGGCGCTGGAAGACACTATACGCGTCCTCAGGTCTGAGCGAGAAGCTGAGAGGGCGATGACCACACTGACGGAGGCACGACTCGAGGAGCAGATCGGTGAACTTGATTGGGATGCTTCGAGCCTGGGAGACCGAGTTACGACTATCGAGGCCGAGAAGGCACAGCTGTTGGATCAGGCCTGTCCTCAAGAATCTGCCCCTGTTGCTGTCCCCCCGCCATTTGTACGAGCTATGGGTCCATTCTGAGGCCCAATGAGATATATATAAGGGTTTGTGGACGGGGGGGGGGGGGGGGGAAACCTTCCTGAGGCCGTTTTTAAAGATGCTCGGGTTAAGGCATGCATGACTCGTCTTGCCTGCGGTTATGACCCCACAACACTGGAGGCCGGTGGGGGTGCTGAGATCGAAGATGGGCTTCCTTCCGATGATGACAATGCCGGAGAGGACGGTGGTGGAGATGAAGCCGAGTGAAATTTTTATAGCTTTCTGTACTTAGCTTTTTTTTTTGTCGTTGCTAGGTGGGCCCCTCTTTTTGGCCCTTTGTAAGATGCTTACCTTTTCTTCGAATGAAATAGTCGGCTTGTCTTCGTTTGTATGTTTTTGGCTTTCCCTTCTCTTTTCCCTTTCGAATTTCTTGGATTTTCTCGCAATAAGTCCCTGACTTCTGGTAGTTGACCTGAGCGGGATCAAATTCGACCTGCTAGTTTGAACTTGACTTTGTTAACCCGAGCAGGGTCGAATTTCGTCTTGCAAATTTGAGCAAAGTCAATTTGGATTTGTTAATTCGATTGAGGTCAAATTTTGTCATACCAGTTTTGAGGGGAGTCACTTTTGACTTGTTAATTCGATTGAGGTCGAATTTCATCTCGCCAACTTAGGCGGAGTTACTTCGGATTTGTTAATTCGAGCGAGGTCGAATTTTATCTCGCCAACTTGGGCGAGGTCAGTTTTGACTTGTAAATTCGAGCGAGGTCGAATTTTGTCTCGCCAACTTGGGCGGAGTCAGTTTTGACTTGTGAATTCGAGCGAGGTCGAACTTTATTTTCGCTTGGCGATGGCCGGGGACCGCATGGGTGTGAGTTTGAACGAGGTCGGATTGTGACCCGTGATGAGTTCGAGCGAAGTCGAACGTTGATTTGTTAATTTGAACGAGGTCGAATTTTACTTTCGCTTGGCGATGGCCGGGGGCCGCATGGGTGTGAATTCGAACGAGGTCGAATTGTGACCCGTGATGAGTTCGAGTGAGGACGAACGTTGATTTGCTAATTCGAACGAGGTCGAATTTTACTTTCGCTTGGGGATGGCCGGGGGCCGCATGGGTATGAATTCGAACGCGGTCGAATTGTGACCCGTGGTGAGTTCGAGCGAGATCGAACTTTGGCTTGTTGACTCGAACGAGGTCGAGTTTTACTTTCATTTGGCGATGGCCGGGGGCCCGGTGGAGTGGTGAGACTTGCCCGTTGCATTGCTTTTATTGGAGAATATTACTCGTTGTTGCATCGTTTATGCGTGCGTCGGGGTGAGTCCCTGTTTATTTAATTTTGCTTTCATTGGAGAGTATTATGCGTTGCTGCATAGTTTATGTATGCGTCGGGGGTGAGTCCCAGTCTATCTAGTCCCTTTATTGACGGGACGGGCGATGAATTTAGTTGCTTGTGCTTCTGGGCACCCTGGGACTTGATCAATTCAACGAAGTTCGGACGTGATTCGTAATATTTACTCGGCTGAACCGGCATAGGATTGCCATGGCGAGCATATGTGCAGGCTTTTTGTGCTCATGTTCTGTATGTGTTGGGAGACTGTATCTTCCACGGGCTCACCTCCTAGTCCCAGGTTATGGAGGTTGTTTCTTAATAATGCCAACTTATTCTGAGCTGTTTGTCTGTTATTCGCAGTATGGTACGGTGTGGATGGTTCTGCTCGGCCGTTGCCTGCGGGACGATATGGTGCGGAACGTTTTCCTGGCGTATTATTTTGGTGGCGTTTTTCCTTGTTCGCGCACCTGGGAGAGTGCTCATGTTCCTATCCCAATCCAGAAAAAGGAAAAATAACAAGTTAAAACCAAACGAAATCGTATGTTACCTTGACCTGATTGGTTGGCGAGGTGAGAGGGGCGCTGTAGAACGACTCATTTAGTCCCGTACTCGAATGACTGTTTCAGATTTGGTAGCCCCGTGCTTAGCTTCGTCGTTAGTCGAGTTTGGAATTCTTATGGACTGGCAACTTACTTCGTCCGTTGGGATCTCGAGCTCGAGTCCCGATCCGATCCCGTCTGGGGTGCACAAAAATAAAGGAAACATAAGTTACATTCCATACATACGGGTAGGAAAAGCTTGTTATTTCAAAGAATCATACAATAGGCTATCGTCCTTTCCTGGGGGGGGGGGGCAATATGCATGAAGTATAGATCGGTATCTAAACGTTAATATAGCAGATAGGATTGCGGACGTGCTCAGTGCATAGTGGCCATAATTCCACTTTGACAGCTCATACTCACGACGTGCTAAACCATCGCTTCAGCAAGACGTGGATTTTATATAGATATCAGACAACATTGATTTCATGCAAAGATCTGACCCTGGTTGGTTCGATTATTTTAAAAGCTTGCCTACGAATTTCTTAAGTTGGCATTTGTAAATGAGAGGGCGAGGCTACGACAACCGGAAAGTGCAACTCTAGCTGACTTTAGATCTAGAGGAAACTAATATTTCGGCTAGAAAGACCCCACTAATGGTGCCAAATTGTTTGACTAAAAAGTATTAAATCTTTTTGTAAACTAATTAAATAGAAAGATTTAAGGTAAATCCTAGCCAAAGATAATTTACCCTAGATCTAAGATAGAAGATAAAGAGTAAGCAAACATAAGACTTAACTATAACATTGATGAATCCCATTATATAAGAAGAAGATGGTGATTTTCATAACATTAAACAATAGTGAAGAATACATAGATAAAAAGGGTCACCGATCTTTAACAAGGTTGAACCCCACATATTTGATATGATGAGACTAACGATATATATTGAGGATCTGAACTTCCTTGCTTCTTTCTCCTTCGTGAGGAGAGAGAGAGAGATGAAGATCCCTCTTCTTCTCAGAAAACATGTCTGTGTGTGGATTTGTTTCAGCCCCCATTTTTTCTTCTTCTCACTTAGTTTATATACTAGGTATTCTCCTTTAACCAACAGTCATTAACCATACTACCCAAGTCATTTGACTGTGTTACTGGTCGACCCTCTGAAATATCGTAACATACGACTCGTCGTTCAAGCATTCTGAATACACGACCTCAACCGTGGCCGATGTGCGTGTCGTTATAGCGTTGTATGGATACGGCTTCGACCCAAGTGACTTTTTGCCGTTCCTCTTTACGCGTATTCTTGTCTGGTCAGATTTTGACCCATACAAAAATTATATAATCGGAACTTTGAATTCATATAATACACGTACATACTGACTAGTAATAGAAAAAATTATTAGTGTATAACTTTAATTTTAAACCCATAGGAAAATGAGTGGTATATTGTTATTAAAGTTATTATTATGTAGAAGGCATAGAAATAACTTCAAATTGCTAAGAGAGAAGGAATGTCTTGACTTGTTGAGTAAAAGGGACTGTTAGTAGGAAAGGACCAATTGGAAGGGAAATAATAAGCATAGAAAAATGGATCCTCCTCCTCCTCCTCTTCATACGCAGACAACAGAGTTACCGACTAGTTGGCGAGGTGCCAAATTTATTTGGCGTGCTGTTCTCATCTTCAATCTCGGCCTCGGAGGTAAAACAATTACCACCTCCCCGCCCAATATCTCTCTAAACCCCACTCTCCTGCATTATATATATATATATATATATATATATATATATATATATATA